TTGAAGAACTAATACTTTAGCAATAGTGGAATAAAATTAAAATGATCAGCCTTAAACAGAAAAGTGTTCTTTTTCAAATACTTTTCTATTTTTAGGACTGAATTCACTAATCTCCCATATTTCATTAAGACTAGCAGCTTTCACATTACAAAAATGAAGAAGCGTGACATTAAATGCTTTTAAAAGTCCTGAAGGAAATTTGTCCATTAGCATACAAAAATAATCATTCTAAAATTAGTATACTCCTGATTTCAGCAGCTCCTGATGAGTTCTTGCCTGCCTTTCAATGCTGATTTCTTTGCAATAGTTCTGATCATGATCGCCCCCCAAAGGCCCATGTTGTCAGTGCCTTAGTTCCCAGGGTGGCACTTTTGAAATGTGACTCCTTAAGAGCCTAGTAAAGAGGTCAGTGGGTCACTGGTGGAGCGTCCTTGAAGGGATTTCCGTACCCAAATTCAATCCTCTATCTTTTGCCAAGAAAGACGTTTCATTCCACCACAAGCTCCAAGCTGTGGTGTTGTCTTGCCTTAGGCCCCAAAGTAATGCCAATCCATCAAAGACTGCAACTTCCAAACCTGGGAGCCAAAATAGCTGGGAGCCAAAATAGCATTTCTCGTTATGAATCAGTAATCTCAGCTACTTTGTTACGGAGACAACATATTACCTCTCATATGAAAGCACATAAAACCACACATGGGCAACAGTCAGATAAATAATTATACAGCCATAGCCATTAAAGAACAAGCTTTATCACAAGCCATCAAATCTTTTCCTTCTCTTAAACTAAAATGTAATTACATGTTAACCGCAAAACACACACTCCTCCGCTACCAGTCAGGATATTACCTCGCTTCAATTCTAATGTATTTACCAATCCTACTTCTTAAAAACATGAAATGAAGAATTTCCACAACAAAGAATTCTAAACTACTCAAAACATGTTTGAAATCAAAGAGCCATGTAATTCTGAATGCTTTCTCTCTCTCTCTCTCTCTTTTTTTTTTCTTTAAAACTGGGTGCCAAGAAGCTGAGGCCAAAAGTAGAGCAACTCATTGTGAATGTACTGGCTCCCAAGAGCCTGTTTGCAGGTCACTAAACTGGAACTTGGAATACATTCTTCCATTGAAACAATGTGACAAACGGGCCTTCTTTCCCAGGCCTTCCTACCCAGCCTCATAAGTCGTTTAAAAGGAAAGTGAACATTAGATACTTTAAAACAGACAAATGAAAAGCTTTGCAAAAGAATTGATACATATGTCCTCTTCTTGTCTAGTTCTTATGTCTTCTCTCGCATTATTCGCATGTAAGCATGATAAACTGATCGCTCCAGAAAGTAAGTCTTCCAAGACAGCAGCATTAAACTAAGCTGCACTGCCCATAGCTATAAGGCACGCAACCCCCCTAAAATCAGTTGTTATTCATATTACATTACAAAATCAGCATTTGTATTTATTACTTTTAAGACTTTCCAGGCTAGGACTGAAACATTTGTCTGGTATATGTGAAGATCTGAGTTCAAACCCTAGCACCACACTTAAAAAAAAAGAGAGAGAGATCTGATTGTAGCTTGGTATGGTGGAAATGTTCTTAGGTCCCTGAAATGACAGTGGGAAGGGAAGCTGTGTGTGTAAATGCCAGTAAATGCCGGCACCTACTCTTTCCTGGAAAACACCTGTCTAAGCACTGAGAACACAATAAAACATCTTGTAAAAAAAAAAATTAAACTGCAAGAATAACAATCAGGAACTATAACGACCTCTAACTAAGAATGGAATAATGGAATGAGAAGAGGGAAGGCGACCTGGTCAAGAAGAGGAGAGGCTCAGAGAGAAAGAGGGGCTGAAGTGGGGAAGACCAGAACAGCCTTCTTTAAAGGGGGTTCAGAGTACATCTCTATCCCGGTGTCAATGGGGAAAGCCTGAAGTAAGCAGGCGGGTGGGGTGTGCAGCATGGGGCCTGGAAAATAAGCATTTGAGGTTAGACCTATCCCTTGACCAAGCTGAAACTCAGAATCTAGTCACCTGACCCAGAAGAGTTTGTAAGACTGGTGGCAGGTTACCAGGTCTGTGAACTCTAAGCCACACAGGACTCCATCATTCTTCCTCCTTCCTGCCCTGTGGACCACATCCTGTGGAAGACAGGAGGAGTTCCTCTGCCTTATTCCACTTGGCCCTTTCTCCCCACTCTGTATCCCACCCATCCCCCCACCAACCCTCACTGGAAAAGCAAGGAGTCAAGCACTGACAGCGAGGGGGTGGAGATACCCGAGGATGGATGCAAAGAACAGAAGCATGAAAGGAGAAATATAAACCCAATGGCCTCTTGGGCATAGGCATGGAATCCCAGCTCCCCAGGAGGCTGAGCAGGGAGGTCACAGGTCCAAGGCCAGCATAGACAATAAAATGAGGCCCTCTCTCAACAGGAAAGTAAGAAGAGCACTGGGGATACAGTTTAGTGGCACAGCACATCCCTGACATTAAGAGGCCCTCTAAGTAAAACCACAGGTACAATCAATCAATAAAACGAAATGCCTAGTTAAGGCAGAGAAGTGCAAATTAAACATGTTGAAAGCCACTCATACCCTTGACAAAGACGTTGTCAAGGTCTTTCTTTTTCACCAACCACACAGTTTAGGAAGGGATGCAGTCGGGGTGGTGAGGGAGGAAGAGGCACCTGCCTAGCCATCTAGATCAATCAAATCAATCCTGGTGATCAGTGGGCTGACAGGTATCAAAACCTGATTACCCTCATACCTAAACACACTGGGAGACTCTTTAGTGGAATGGTCACTAAGCAACGAATCAAAACCAAACTTGGCTTCTCTGCTAGCCAGAAGTCATGTGTCTTCAGAGAAGTCACTCCAGCTGTCTACCACTTGGTTTTCTCCTGCAGCCGGGCTTCCATCTGCCCACTAAAGCAACAGAGTTTCGCTTCCTGCTCTGGCCTACTGTCCATGTGTACACAGCCCTAAAACAAGAGGAAACCAAGGCAAACAATGGACAAAAAACTAAAGATGATGTGCAACAGCTCATGCTCTGCTGGGTGTCACCTAAACACTTCCAAGGACTACCTTACTGCTAGAAAACCCATCACATGAATCCGAGGTCATTTTTCTCTCCTTAAGGTGTCGTATCTGTACTTAAACTCTATCTCAAAGATGGAGTACTTCTTAGAATGAGCCAACAAAACTTAGTTGGTTTTTCTCTGGTGTTCATTTATTTGACTTAAAATACTTCGCAGGTCTCAGATTAGATTACATCTTAGTGGTAGAGCACGAACCTAGCAAATATATGACCCTGGGTTGAATCCTCATCAACACTAATAGACTTCCGAGTCCAATAGTCCCTAATCTTCCTAATGCTGCAACCCTTTATTACAGTTCCTCATACTGTGGCGACTCCCAACCATAAAATTATTCTCATTGCTACTTCATAACTGTAATTTTGCTAGTTATGAATTTTGTAAATATCTGTGTTTTCCAATGGTCTAAGGTGATTTCTGTGAAATGTGATTCCATTTGATACCCAAAGAGGTTGCAACCCTAGGTTGAGAACCACTGGCCAAAGAGAGTATGTAGAGTCAGAGTGAGATTCGGACCTGGCCGTGACCTGAGGCTGAAATGTAAAGGCAATCAGTCTTGTGAAGGATGTATTCTTCCCAGGTGCTTTCATTCCCACATCACAGCATTAGTTCTAATTAGATATAGTAATTTTTTTTCTATCTTAAGAATATCTCGCTGGGCAGTGGTGGCACACGCCTTTAATCCAAGCACTTGGGAGGCAGAGGTAGATGAATCTCTATGAGTTCTAGATCAGCCTGATCTACAGAGCAAGTTCTAAGACAGGCTCCAAAAGCTATATAGAAAAAAAAAATCTCAGTATGAAATCACTGACTGGTTCCATTGTATCTATACAACACTGATTTTTCAGATTTTAATAGATTTATACTGAATTTGATATGCAATCTTAATTTAGAATAGGTTGAGTATTCCTCATCCAAAAATTTAAAATCTAAAATGATTCAAATCCAAAACACAATACAAAGGAAATTTTTCATATCTGATATCATCCAGTTGTAGTCAAGACCCAGAAGCACTGGGAACCATGCATTAAATTACCTTTAGGCTATGTGAAAAAGCTAAGTATGAGGAACAGACACTCCCTGCTTAGACTTGGATCTCACCCCAAGATTCATCATGTACATACAAATAACCGACTAACCCAAAACATGTCACATTCCTGGTCTCTGGCATTGTGAGCAAGGGATACTCAACCTACTCGGCAACAAAGAATGTTTAAAGAAACAACACTGCAAAGATGCCCATCATATGAAGGCCCGTGAAGTAAGACGCCCCGTTTCCTATCTTTCCAAAGGCTTGAGCGTCCTCTCCTCCCGCATGCTCGCTGCTCTCTGCTTCTCGGGGCCTCCTCCACTAAGCAAGACTTTGGAAATGATCTTGACAGGGACCTGGGAGTATGGCTTTTAGATCAACCAAATCAATCCTGTGGGCTTGCAGGTATCACAATCTGATTACCCTCATATCTCCCTCGTATCTGAACACATTGGAAGGCTTTAATGAAATGATCTCTAAGCAACAAATAATAATTTAAAAAAAAAAAACCTGGTTTCTCTTCTGGACACAAGTCATGTCTTCAAGGAAGTTGATGTCTTCTGTCTACCATTTGGTCGCCAAGGGTCTTACTTCCTCCTGGCCATGTTATCATTAAATTTGAAAAAATATTTAAATAATCATAACTATTGTGTAAATAACTTTCTATAACTTAGATGAGAAATTTCCCCACTGGAATTAAAGGCATACAACCACCGCCTGGCAGAACTAGGAGATTTTAAAATTTAAATTAAACATTTGAATTATGCATTACTAAATGTTATCAAAGATTGCTAGAATCTCAAAGCAACCAAACTGACAAACATTTAGTACACTTTAAAGATAGTCTAGAATAAAACTTCATAGTAAAAGGTTCTTAAGAGACTATCACCTTTCTGTTGATGATCGGAACAGACAAGAAATAGTTGGGTTGATAATCTTTTGAGGGTTTTTTTCTCTTCTTTATGTGCTCATTCTTGATGCCTTCATTTTCTTTGCTTCTCTTTGAATTTGTTTGAAGTATGTCAGTGACTAGAGGAAAACAAAGTGAAAAAGTGTCTCACATATTTAAACAAAGATAACCTAGTTTAAAAAGGAAGAAGTCATACAGTATACATAATAAGCAGCAATCATGTATAATTGTCATTTTCAAATGTAAAGCAAGAGTCAGCAAGAATTTCCATAAAGAACAAAATTGTAAATGGTTTGAGCTTTGCAGACCACAGGGTCTGTCTTGCAGCTACCTAACTCTGACAAAACAAATCAAAGGATATAGCTGTGTCCCAATAAAACTTTATTTACAAAAGGAGGCCAGGCAGATTTATACCTTAGGTAGGACAACACTAACAAGCATTCTCTACTACATGCCAAAGGGTTGTTTTTTTTTCTCATTGTTTTTGTTTTGTTTTTTGAGGAAGGGTCTTGCTATGTAAACCAATATCCCTTCTTAGGCCACCAAGTTCAGGACTATGAGCATGAGCCACTATGTCTGGCATCATGGTTTTTCTACCACTACGAAAGTAGATTGTTGGTTGGTTGGTTTGTATTTGCTTATTTCACCCATTCCCTGTGACCTAACTTCCTTCTGCTAGCCCACTTCCTCCTAGCACAATGTCCCACCACTTCCCAGCAAAACTGGTGACCTAGTACTCAGGCCACTGAGGATATTCATGATCCAACTTGTAGCAAGTGGATCATGTCAGACAGGCTCTAATGTCAACTCATAAATCTTTCCATAGGTTAAAGAGGAGACAATGTGAGCATCAAATTGAATAAAAAAATTTAGTAGTGTGAATTTTATCAGATATGATCAAACCCACCAGTTCATAATGATTCTAAAAAGAAAAAATTAAAACCAGAATTCAGTTACCTCTAGAGAAGTCAGAGAACCATTATTCTAAAAAATAATCACTCATGTGCACATGGTACAATTTTATACCCATATAGTGTGTTTTAGGTTTTCTGCCTTTAATGCAGTGCCCTGTTGACACAATCCACCTGTGACACTGGGAGCCACTGTCATGCTCTCTCTTGTTTATAGGATCTTCTTGGTATTTACCAAGTTTATCTGAAGAACCAAAACACAGCATCTCTCTGCTTTCTCACTTCCTGACTTCATTTTCCTCCCAACTCTGGAAACACTGTCTGTGTTCCGAAGCACATTTTGCTGTTATTCCATTTGCTTGCTTTCACATGAAAAGATAAAAAGCAAATATTTATATAATCATCTAGTTTACCGATAAAATTGGTGACTTGAGGTCACAAAGTGAAAAAAACTTTGGCTGTCTGCCCTGGATCTTTCACCAGATTATTTATAGTAATTTTACTGATTAGCAAAAAGTCATCCATGGAAATACAGCTTGCAAACCCATAAACTTAATTTATTATACTTGTTAATTTTCATAATAACTTTCGTAGACTTTTATTGTGCACTGATAACTTGATGCCATTGACAAGGGCCATTACTTTCTCAACCACAGATTTTTTTTTAACCAAAGCACCACGTGTCATCTTATGTAAATTATTTAATTTCTCCTCAATTCTATTTATTCATTCAAAAACTACAAAGGAGTGAATTAGAAGAGAAATTAATTTAATTTAATTAAATACTCCATCTGTTATTGTGGGTTGATTGTTTCCACACTTGCTCTTAATTAAAATGCTGAGAATAAATTAGAGTTTGTTTTGATGTTTCCTTTCTTGTTACTTAAGAAGATAACAATCTTTCAAGTAGGCTGGGAGTGACTCTATTCATCGCAATTCCAGCACTTGGGAAGGCTAAGACTGGAAAGCTACTGAGTTCAAGGCCAACCGGGGCTACACCAACCGTCTGAGTCTGAGTTGGCAGCATTCTCTATGATGTTCAGACAAACAAATAATAATAGCCTAATGGGTCAGCCCACCCTGACATCTACTCCATCTATGGCCTGCTGCAGTGCTTGAAGGGACTGGTCCTGTAGAATGATAACCACGGGATGTCTAAGACTCAGGGCAACAACAGGATATCTGAGAGGAGTTTGGTGACGGTCCAGTGATGATGGTGTGCCAGAGGACTTGAACCAGACCAATGACTCACTGCAATGAACATGTTGTGGGTGTGGCTGACTGGACAAAAGGGTCTACTGAGTGACACACAGCAGCACCCAGTGCACTACGATGAGAAAAGAGGTGTTGGAAAGATAGAGGGTCAGGTAGTGTTGTGTATGTGTGTTGTTTTAAATTGATTTGGGAATGGGTGGTTTCTTTGGGGAGGATGCTGCAGGGGTGAAGGGAGGGTATGGAGGGACTGGGAGGTGAGCAGGAATGGGGTGCATCATGTGAAACTCCAAAGAATCAATAAAGAATTACATTATAAAAAATAAATAGCCTAGTCTCAGAGCATAGCCATTCATTATGCAGGACACATTACTGTATGCAGCATTTGTCTTCCCAACGAATTATATAAAGGACACAGAACGCAATTTATCTCTTTTTAACTGACACAGCATAATCACTGAGATCTGTATATACTAAGATAAATCTTTTCTATACAAAAAAATAGATAATTTTTTGTTTTATATTTTAAATTTTTCAAGATATGCCTTAACTAGTTAATAGATAATAAAATGGTCATTTCCTCTATCTCAAAATCCCCAACAGTTATATTAGAACACTGTGTGAAGAAGCCCGGCATGGTAATGAATGCTTATGTTCCAATGCTTATGAGGGTAGGAGGATCAGAGAAGTTCAGGCCAGTCTTAACTACATAGTGATTGTGAAAATGCTCTGAGGGTCAGGAGATGGTCTCAAAACAGACACACACATGAACAAAATGAATTTTGAAGACATAAAATGGTGTAGGAGGTCCTTCTGTCTGTGTGCTGCTTTTCTTTGTTAATGAATAAAGAAACTGCCTTTACCTGTTGATAAGGCAGAATTTAGGTAAGCAGGGAAAACTGAACTGAATGCTGGGAGAAGGAAGGTGGAGAGAGAGACACCACGGAGCCGCCACCAGAGATAGATGTGCTAAAACTTTGCTGGTAGGCCACGACTTCGTGCACAGATTAACGGAGATGGGTTAAATTAAATTGTAAGAGTTAGCCACTAAAAGTTAGAGCTAATGGGCCAAGCAGTGATTTATTCAGTTTTTGTGTGCTTACTTCAGGGCTAAGCTTGCCTGGCGGCCGGGACGAACAAGCAGGCCCTCCTCCTTCAATAAAATAAGGATTAGCAGCTTCTATAAAACTGAATTTCACATTTAGGAAAGCCATGTAACTAGAAACCAACTCTCAAATATTTTCTTTTGAATCTTGATTTAAATGTAGGCTGGAGAGATAGCTCAACAGGTAAGGGTGCTTGCCACCAAGTCTGATAGTGTGAGTTCAATTCCCAGGACCTACATAGAGAAGAGAGAGAACAGATTCCCTCAAGTTGGCCTCTGACCTCCACATGTGTGTTTTGGCATGCACACACTCATACATATACTTATCTACCTATATATATATGCAGACATACATATATATCCACACAAAGAAAAAAGTATAATTTTTAGAATGTTGCTTTATTGTTTAGAATTGATGATCTAGATGACTATAATCAGTGAAACTAAAGCTCTCCCCCATCTCCTGTGGGAAGCAGACTGGGCTATTCCTATCAACAAAATGACTCCCACTCTACAGTCAGTGGCAAAGAACAGCAACACCAAACATTTTCCGGATGCTTCCTGGGTTTCTAGCCAATTGAGCCACAATGTGTTCTCTTATAGGGAGAAGAAACCCACAAGTCCTGACGCCCCCCTCACTCAAGCTAGATTTGACTGCTGGAACATGCCTAACCAGCAGCCAAAGGTGTGATCCATTCTGCTGTAGCTCTTCACCATGTATGAGATTTTCTTTCATATATGTACTTATGGTTTACTTATTATCTATCTTTGAGTTCTAGTAAATAACCCTAAGTGATGTGGGATTTCCCTCTGTATGCTGCTTTGGACCTATAGCAGGGCAGAACTTAGCTAGGCAGGGGAAACTAAACTGAATGCTGGGAGAAAGAAGAGAGGAGTCAGGAGAAGCCATGTAGCCCCCCGCACCTCCCCCCACAGACACACATGTCAGAGACAAACGCCAGTCAGAACTTCACCCGGTGAGCCACAGCCATGTGGCAGTACACAGATTAATAGAAATGGGTTAAACTAAGATGTAAGAGTTAGCCAATAAGAATCTAGAGCTAATGGGCCAAGCAGTGATTTAATTAATACAGTTTCTGTTTGATTATTTCGGGGCTAAGAGGTTGGGAACTAACTAGCGCCCTTCCTATTGCAAGACCTAAGGATATCTTGCATTGTTATATTTGATCACAATACTCAAAAGCATTTAATATTCCTATATGTTTCTAATAAACTATCCTCTTGGATAAATACAATTCTCTCTAAAAAAAAAAAAAATTCAAAACCCATTTCAGTCAACCAGACCCAGAAAAAATGTCTTCATGCACACTGAGAGAGATATCATCTCTAAAAGGAGACATCAACATCTAAAATATCAGGAGAAATGTTTCCTCTGGCAAGGGGTACACTTCCCAGATGTTCTCCTTAGCACTGTTTTCCTTGTGGTTCTCTCAGAGTTGCTGTCAGCAAGAACCTCTAAGCAGTGACCTCTCAGTTCCCACACCCCAAGAAAACCAAGGGCCACCAGCTTGTACCAGCCACGTGGAGTTTTAAGGCTGTTGTCTACACCGCACCAGAAGACTGATTAAGTCTGCAGGGTCATAAACACAGCAGGAAGCCAAGTAGGTTCACTTCCAGCACCCACATCAGAGGGTTGGCAACTGCCTGTAACTCCAGTTCCAACAAAGCTGACGCCAACTGCAGGTTCCAGAGGAACCATACACAAATGCCCAAACCCTCACTCAGTTATATACATATGTATAATTCAAATGTTTAATTTAATTTTTAAAATCTCCTAGTTCTGCCAGGCGGTGGTTGCATGCCGTTAATCCCAGTACTCTGGAGGAAGAGGCAGGTGAATCTCTGAGCTTGCTCGAGGTCAGCCTGGTCAAAGAGTGAGTTTCAGGGAAGCCAGGACTACACACAGAATTCCTGTCTCAAAAAACTAAAAAAGTCTACAAAACAAACAAACAAAACCCCTCCTAGTTCTTATATATTTCACACACACACACACACACACACAAAAAAAAAAGACTAGTTAACAGTCTCTAGCTAACAAATTTTCTACCTGTTCCTTTATATTGTAAGGGATGAAAGACTACTATTAAAAATAAGAGATGGGGGGCCCATTCATCTTTAATCCCAACTCTTGGGAAGCAGAGGCAGGCAGATCTCTGTGCGTTCGAGGACAGCCTTGTCTACGGAAGTTCCAGGCCAGGCAAAGCTGCTACACAGGGAAATCCAGTCTTAAGACACCAGAGAAAAAGATGAGTGGCAGTCAAACAACTGAGAGTTAGTTTTCAAAGTTTTGTACGGTTCTGTGGGGAAAGTGCTTCTTGCTGAAGCATGAGGACCTGCACTTAATCCTGGGCACCACATCAAAGCCAGGCACAGCAGGACATAACTATGACCCCAGGGCTGGGAAGCAGGGACAAGCCTAGAGCTTCCTGCCCAGCCAGCCCAGCTGAATGTGCTAGTCGCAGAATCAGTTAGAGACTATCTCAAAATTAATTAATTAATTAATTAATTAATTAATAAAGGTAGAAAATGGGTAGAAAGGGATAAAAAGAAACACTGGGGCTGGAGAGGTGGCTCAGCAGTCAAAAGCACTCGCTGCTCTTCCAGAGGTTGGGTTCTGATTCCCAGCACCCACATGGCAGCTCACAACTGTTTGTAACTCCAGTTCCAGGGGATCTGACTCCTTCACACCAATGCACATAAAATAAAGTTAAATAAATTATTTAAAAAATTACAAAAAAGACACTCAATGTCAATTTCTTGCCTCCACAAGCACACATGTGTACCAGCATATACAACTGTATACACACAGAGAAAAGAAAGGCTTTTTTTTTCTTTTTGGTTTGTTGAGATAGGCTGGCCTTGAACTCACAGAGATCCACCTGCCTCAGCCTCCCAAGTACTGAGATTAAAGGCGTGCACCTCCACTACCTAGCCAAAAGAAACACTTGTACACTGCTGCATGTTTAGCTCCTTTCTTATACACATTTTGCCTTTTGATCTGTACAGCATCAACATGAGGCAAGCAAGAAGGAACTACAATCTGCCTATTACAGTTAAAGTCTCACACAGTTCAAATGACCAAAATCACACAATAAGAAAATTAATAATCAAAACTGAAGACCCAGTTCTGTTTCTCCCCTTCCCCCACTGGACCCACACATGAACTGAAGCTTAGAATCTGAAACCCATCTTTCCACAGAAGAAATCTTCTACTCTGTGGTTTGGAATACAGCTAACATTCAAATAGCTTTAAAGCTCCTGAGACCTCTAATATCTAAGAGTGCTATAATGCTCCATAGTTAAGAACAGATTTCAGTAGACTGGCCGAAGTCCCATCTTACATATGACTTTTACATTTACCATTGTTCTAGTAAAAACTATACCAAATCCTGCCAAAAAGAAAAGAAAAGAAGGAAAAAAATCTGCTTGCATCAAGGCCAACCTTCCCAAGGCCCAAGCTAAGCAGAAGCAGCCATTTTTTTCAAAGCATGAAGGAAACACAAGTTCCAAAGCACCGGTCCTTCTTCCTGGTGCATGGCGGTCACTGCTCTCCTCAGTAGTCCTAAGGCCACAGAGGCTACGAAACATTGTTCTTGGGGATTCTGGAAGGATCTCATTAGTCATACCTACTGTAAACTGTTCTGATATATAAACTATGGATAAGATATGGGCAGTCAGATGAACCGACAGCTGGACAGTGAACAGGTTTCATCTCCTGTTCCTAGATCATAGGGACATCTGTCACCTTTGCAGAGGACAGAATCCCAGTCGTCATGTATAGTTCTATTTCCACAGTGACATGAAATTTCTATCTTGGTGTTTCCAACAGTATTGGTTACATAAAGTTTGTAGATTGAAGCTCTAAGGGACTGGCTGAATTGATCATGTTTGTCTGGTTCATGGACGGGTGGATGGACACTCTCAGTCTATAGCAAAGTGCCTACATATACCCAAAAGCCATTAACCATTTATTACATGAATGGGTAGGTACTTCTGAAATTGCAGGTGGCTCCAAAGAAATAGAGTCATTATAAACCATAAAGTGATCTGGCAGCTCCAGGCAGAAGTAATCACAAAATGACCTGGCCCAAAATTTTGTGAGCCATTTCTTAATATTATCTATGACAGTTTGGACAACAAAGAGCCAGGTAACTTAGCACTCAAAAGCATGACAAGTATTTAAAATGAAATAAAGATGAAATGCACATCTAAATGTACTGTCCGCTGCTTCTAAATATTTGTTTAAATAATACAGTACTTACTTCCACAATCATCTTGAATATCTACAGTAGCAAATGGCATGTCCGTCAGAGAGTCCACAGTGCTGGCTTCTAATTCCCCTGACACTTTGTCTTTTCTTAACACACTTTTACATTCGTGGGAATTTATTTCTCCTATAACAAACCAGAAAAAGAAACAAAGATTATCCAATTGTTAAACTCCTATCCAGAAACCAAAATACCTCAGTTAAGTGAACAATACATAGCATCCTGCATGAAGAGAGGTTATGACTTGCTCTTTTAGCACAGGCTTGTTTTTAAAGGTGCATTTTGACATTAAACAGTAAGTTTTCAGGGCTGGAGAGATGGCTCAGAGGTTAAGAGCACTGGCTGCTCTTCAGAGGTCCTGAGTTCAGTTCCCAGCAACCACATGGGGGCTTACAGCCACCTGTACTGAGATCTAGTGCCCTCTTCTGTCATGCAGGTGTACATGCAAGCAGAACACTGGGTATTTAATAAATAAATCTTTAACTAAAAAAAAAGTAAGCTTTCTAAAGCTTTAGTCCTTTTCTGAAGCACAGTGTTCAATCCAGCATAGATGACAACAGAGAAAATCTATAATCTTCCATCTTTAAAGCCACATTTTTTCTCATCTTCTGGCAACAAACAAAGTGTTCACTTGTTTATTGTGTCTTCTCGTGTTCATTTTCAGTAATGTCATCTATATAGAGGACTTTAAAATGTATCGCTTAATGTCTTTATTAGCATATATTAATTACACATTACAGGTTTCATTATGACATTTCCATACATGAACATAGTGTATTTTGATCATGGTCATACATAGGTAAACACAAGCACACACACACACTTTGCCCTCTCACCTCTTCTCACATTTTGTGTTCTAATCTCCATAAGCTCTAGTCTTTTTTTTTTCTTCCATAAATTCTTCCACTCCACCATTAAACTTAACACTAGAAATCTAGTTTGGTGTGGAACAATTCTGTATTCTGTCAATTATGTTTTAAATAAATGCTGATTGGTCAGTAGCCAGGCAGGAAGTATAGGTGGGACAACCAGACAGGAAGTAGAGGCAGGTCAAGGAGAACAGGAGTATTCTGGGAAGAAGGAAGCTCTTTCAGCAGTCCTGTCCAGACACCGAAGAAGCAGGATGTGACCTGCCCCACTGAAATGGTACCGAGCCATGTGGCTAACATAGATAGAATAATGGTTATATATGGTTATATATAATATGATTAATATAAGTTATAAGATCTAACAAGAAGCCTGAGCTAATGGGCCAATCAGTTTATAACTTATGGAGACCTCTGTGTGATTTTCTTTGGGGTTAAACAGTTGTGGGAACCAGGCAGGACAGAAACCTCAACAAAGCAGGCCCCCATGTTACACTAGTTAAAAATACTTGAGGCAGCTTAGTGGGTAAAGGCTCCTGATGTGAAGGTCTGGCAACCTGAGCTGGATCCCCAGAACCCATGAAGGTAGAGAAAACTGATTCTGATTGTTTCCTGACTTCCATCCATAGGTCACAGCATACATGTCCTCCCACATATGCAAGAGATTGTTCAACACATGGTTCTAAATATGCATTTTTTGAAATTCAGCTATGAGATTCAAATCACCCTCACAGTGTTTTTTTTAATATTTATTTATTTATTATGTATACAATATTCTGTCTGTGTGTATGCCTGCAGGTCAGAAGAGGGCACCAGACCCCATTATAGATGGTTGTGAGTCACCCTGTGGTTGCTGGGAATTGAACTCAGGACCTTTGGAAGAGCAGGCAATGCTCTTAACCTCTGAGCCATCTCTCCAGCCCCTACCCTCACAGTGTTTTACACTCCCAAGTCATGCACTAAGTCACTTCACATTTGGTCTTTGTTTTCTTGTTACCGGTGGAACACCCACAATGTCGTGGGTGGAGGGCTAAGGAAAGAAAGACTTCAACTGATAAAGTTAATGCTAAGTTTACCTGTCAGTGGTCTCCCCAGTACAATTATTCACCATACCTCTAGTGACAGACATAAATGTTATTTGGACTGAAGAAAACCCAGGAATACTTACATAATTTTCACCTGGTGTAATCAGTGAAGACCAACCTGCCCTGAAGACTAATAAAAGAAAACATGCATTTTCCTTCTGCTGTAATCCTCTATTTTCAAATGCAATAATTGCAAAACACACTCCATTAAGAATATGGCTTACATGCCTGGAGAGATGGCTCAGGGGTTAAGAGAACTGGCTGCTCTTCCAGAGGATCTGGTTCAGTTCCCAGTACCCACATGACTCAGAGTAATCTGTTAATTCCAGTTCCAGAGGATCCAACACCTTCTCCTGACTTCCAAAAGCACTGCAAACTTCTAGTACACAGACATAAGACACAGCAAATGAGGCAGACGCACAAAATAAAATGATAAATATGAAGGAAAAGGAGGTGGCTCCTTACAGGGCTAGGGAGATGGCTCAATGGTTAACAGCACTTGTTGCTCTTCCAGAGGGCCTGGGTTCATTTCCCAGTGTCCAGCTCCAAGCACCCACATCTGGAAACTCGCCCACTGCCTGTTAACTCCAGTTCTGGAAATTTCACACTCTCGTCTAGCCTCCTTAGGCACCTGGATACTGCACCATACATACATTCAGGAGCACTTGTGCACATAGACATGTGTATGTACAAACACGCACACATTATAATTAATATTTTAATATAAATGTATACATAATGTGTATGTATATGTATAAACATATATGATATGCATAGATAACATATGCATATACATATATAAAGTGACTTACAGGGTATCAGGGAAATAGTTCAGAAGTATAGTACCTCATATGAACAAGGCCCTAGTTTCAATCTCTGGCACCCCAAAAATCTAAATAAAACCAAAAAAAAAGAATATGGCCTGCAAACTGGGACTCTCCAGGCTGTAATCCTAGTGATTAGAAGACAAGATGGTCTCAACTTCAAATCCTTCCATAGCCTGAGTTCAATGCCAACCTGAACATCACTGGTCTTGGCTTTAAAAACACAAACTCTAAAAGAAAACAAATTTCTAGCTCCTCTACCTTCTCCTCCAGACAGAAAAGAATTAAAAATAAGGGTGGAACAGTGGCATAGTGCCTTCCTAGCAAAGTGAAAGGCCCCAGTACTTTAAGAAGTGTATGCTATATATTTTAAAATACAATAATAATTCTCATAATAGCTCATAGTTAATATGCACACTAAATTTTTATTACAAATTTTTATTACAACTTGAGTGATTTCTAAAATTATTCACACACACACACATCGCATTTTCTAGATTTAACTAAAAAGATAGTACCTTTCTCACTCATATTCAAGATCAAAAAGACACAAAAGCATTTTCTTAATAATGTTATTTATACAATTCAGACTTTAGGAAGTATGAGTGTGTGGAGGTGTGAACGAGAATGGCCCCATAGGTTCATTCATATATTTGAATGCTTTATCCCCATTGGGTAGAACTGTTTGGAAAGGATTAGAAAGTGTGGGTGTGGTCTTTCTAGAGGAGATGCACCACCAGGAGTGGCTTTTAGGTTCCAAAACCCATGCCATGGTATTCCCAATTAGGACGCTCTCTCACTCACTCGCTCTCGTTCTCTCTCACACACTCACTCTCTCCCTCTCTTTTTCTCTCCCTTCTTCTCTCCCTCCCTCTCTCCCTAAGTCTCTCTGTCTCATGGCTGTCTGGACATAAAAGCTCTCAGCTACTGCTCCAGTGCCATGCATGCACGCCTGCCTGCTGCCATGCTCCCTGAGACGACGGTGCCATGCACACCTGCCTGTTGTTATGTTCCCTGAGATGACAGTGCCATGCACGCCTGCCTGCTGCCATGTTCCCTGAGATGATGGTCATGGATTATTCAGCCCATGAAACCATAAACAAGGCCCCCAATTAAATGTTCTCTTTTATAAGCTGCTTCTTACAGCAACAGAAAATTAACTAAGACAAAGTGTCTGGTACATATATGTTCAACAAATTTTAGGTTACTATAAGTCTCCTCACAAGCTCAGAGTACTTGAAAATCATGAGAATAAGTCGAATGTTAGCTTTCTGTGTATATAGTAGCATTTTAGAAACAAAAATGCAGTTTAGATTTAAAAGTTCGAAGAGATCAGTATGGATCTTGAATTTTCACAGGCAGCTCCATGTAAAGGACCATCACCAACCAGGCAGCTTATACACACACATACACACACACACACACACACACACACACACACACACACACACAAACTTTCAACAAAAGAGCAGCACTTGAAAGCCAGGCACGGGAGTACACACATGCCTCTAATCCCAGCACACAGAAGAACACTGAGCTCTTCAAAGTCAACCTGGGCTACAGACTAAGACTGCAACTCAAAATAACAATATCAATAGTAAAGAATTTTTAAAGCGCTTATACAATTAAACATATTACCTATACACTATTATCCAAAACATACATGAAGACTGAATAGAAATTAGAATACAATTAAACATATCACCTATCAACTACTATCCATAACATATGAAGACTGCATAGAAATTAAAATGAAAGAAGTATATAAACCCAACTACGACTCTCCTAATTTTTTTCTCAATCCAAGCATTTAGTGACAGGAAACAGTCCCAGTATGATCATACCATGTCAATACTATTTCCTCAGTCCATGTGTTACATGGAAAGTTTCTGACTCACGATGGCTTCAAATACAACCTTTCAACCCCATGATGGTGCAAAAGTTGGCCATCATATCTACTACTGTGACTGAAGGGCAGCTCTCAGAGCCAAGGAGGCAGGGCATGGGACAGGTTCAGGCTCTCAGAGCCAAAGAGGCAGGGTGTGGGGTGGGTTCAGGCTCTCAGACAAGAAGGCAGGGCATAGAACGGATTCAGGCTCTCAGAGTCAAGGAGGCAGGGCGTGGGGTGGGTTCAGGCTCTCAGAGCCAAGGAGACAGGGTGTGGGGTGGGTTCAGGCTCTCAAGCAAGGAGACAGGGTGTGGGGTGGGTTCAGGCTCTCAGACAAGAAGGCAGGGTGTGGGGTGGGTTCAGGCTCTCAGAGCCAAGGAGGCAATGCATGGGATGGGCTCAGGATCTCAGACAAGGAGACAGGGTGTGGGATGGGTTTAGGATCTCAGAGATAAGAAGGCAAGGCATAGGCTCTCAGAGCCAAGGAAGCAGAGCATGGAGTGAGTTCAGAATCTCAGAGCCAAAAAGGCAAGGCATGGGGTTGGTTCAGGATCTCAGAGCCAAGGAAGCAGGGCGTAGGATGGGTTCAGGATCTCAGGCAAGGAGGCAGGGTGTGGGGTGGGTTCAGAATTGCAGAGACAAGGAGGCAGGGTGTGGGGTGGGTTCAGAATTGCAGAGACAAGGAGGCAGGGTGTGGGGTGGGTTCAGAATTGCAGAGACAAGGAGGCAGGGTGTGGGGTGGGTTCAGGATCACAGAGACAAGGAAGCAGGGAATGACATGGCTTCAGGCTCTCAGAGACAAGGAGGTAGGACATGGCAGGGTTCAGAATCACAGAGACAGAGAGGCAGGGTGTGGGGTGGGTTCAGTCTCCAGAACCCAGAGTCTGAGGGATGTGGTCAAAATCTTGTTTTCTCTGTTCAACTTTCCTTCCTGACAGCTATTCAGGAAAGCAGTGAACATTCATTAGAAATGTTCAAATTTTGGATGTTGACTCTTCCCAGACTAGGGACATAAGGTATGGTCCCCTCTTGTGATGTTGGAAGGAGTCCCAGCTTCCAGGAAGCCCCATGATCTTGAGATAAAAGACCCAATACTCTAGACGGGACTGTGTTGCTAAGCAATGATGTTCAGCAGGCCAGGTATATTCTAAGGCCTATTTTCCCCTAACCAGTATTTGCCACTTGACAATGAACACTTACAGCACAGATTCTTGGCAATATACAAAACAGAGGAAACTGGCTTCTGGGTTGTAACACATTCTGAAGGCAAAGAGAATAATTAAAATAGCATGGTGAATTAAGTCATTCTTTAAGAAGTCCTTGATTGAGTTTAATTTTTAGTATCTCATAAGATCAATTAAGCATCCCTACCAAGGAAGCAAAGCAGATGCTAAGAGAGTCACTTGATGAAGCCAAGAGAAGACTCTCACAGCAGCCCCAAACCCATCAGGATCTGGATCCCACCCCTAAGCCAATCAGACCAGGTCTACAGTGGGGTAGACCAAGTCAGCCTCCACGATTCTTTAAAAGTTTCCGGGTGATTCTACTGTGCAAGGGAAGCTGGAAAGCCACTGCCAAAACTCTCACTTTTCCTATCCCTTGACCCTCCTCTAAATGATGGATTTCAATAAAAAGTAGGATCAATCACAAAGTAAAAAGGCCACTAAGGGTGCCAGCAATCTAGCCTCCTTCCAAGTACCTAGAGATCCCTTTGGCCACACCAGAAGAATATGACTCTATTGCTCTCCACTTGTCTGTCCTCTCCTTGAGATTCTAAACCAAAGTGACCAAACAACCTACCGCTTTAATCAGGACACTTGGTCAAAGTGGGAACTTCCAACAATTATCAGCAAACATGGTCCCCTCCTCTCTGCTCCTTCAGTGTCCCTTTCATTCTTTCACTCATAGCATGGAGCCAGCTCGCCGCAGGTAATCTACAAATTTTTACTGAATGACTGCACAAAGTACACACCTGGGAGTGGTTCCTAATTCACTGTAGTGCAGCCGTCTTGATACCCATGAAAAACAATGGTCTTTAACAGCAGCCTTTGAACATGGCAGGCTCCCTCATTTCCACAGAATGAATAAAGGGCACAAAAATAAACACTAAGAAATGGGATGGGGGAATGCAGCTTAGCCAGAGTGCTTGCCTAACATGCCTGGCCCTGGGGTCAATCCCACACACCAAAACCAAACCTAGGAACTAACCAATACAAGAAAAAAAAAAATGGAGACATAATATGATTTACTCTATAGCATTCTCCATCTTTTGTCTGTGTGTATGTTTGCTTTCTTGGTGTTGGTTTTGCATTTTTTGAGACAAGGTCTCCTAAACTCTAAGCAGGCCTCAAACTCACCATGTAGCTAAGAATGATCTTGAACTTGAATTTTCTCACCCCAGCCTCTTAGGAATTACAGTGGTACACAACAATACCCACCTACCTGTCAATCATTTTACAAAAAATACATTAAACTCAAAAGCAATAATATATCAAAACTGACAAAAGAACTTAAAAGACAAACTATCCTCCATTTCTAGAGAATAGAATTATTGCAGATAAGACTCATTAACTCCAAAATGAGAATGCCACTTATGATTCTTTTTTTTTCTTTTATTCTTTATGACACTGGAATTATAGCTTTAATTTTGAGGTTAGCAAATTATTGGGTTCTACTATGGCATCTTCATACATAGGTATTGTTGTCCTTTGCTCATAATGGTTCACCTGCCCACCTCCAGCTGCTTCCCCATCTTCCTCAAGTTAGCCCCTTCTCTTTCCTGTTACATAGGTTTCATTAGTCTTCACTGTCTAGCACCTTCAGAATCCCTTCCTCCCCATCACAACCTCCTCTCTGGTTCCACGACCTACAAGCACACATATATAAATACTTACATATATCTACATATATAATTTTAATTTATCTCCCACACATGAGAGAAAACATACAGTTATTTTCTGAGCCTCATTGATTTCTCTTAAGATAATTAAAGTTTCCAGTTGCATCTATATTTCTACAACTGTCAAGACTTATTTTTCCTTACAACTGCAAAAATTCTGTCTTATGGAATTCTGGGGACTCTAAATGTACCACATTCTTTTCCCCATTCATCTATTGATGGGCATCTAGGCTAGTGCCGGTACCTGACTACCCTGAAGAGTGCAGAAGTAAGCATGGACGTGCAGGTATCCCACAGCTAACTAACTTAAGCATCCTTTGAGCACATACCCAGGAGTGGCATAGCTGGGCCAGACAGTAGTTATATTTTCAGATATCTGAGGAACCTCTGTGCTGATTTCCACAGTATGACACAAGTTCACCTTGCCATAGGCAGTGAATAAGGTTCATCTTTTCCCACCTCCTAGCTTTTGTTTGTTTGCCTTAGAGCACCATCTTTCTATATACCTCAGGCTGGCCTCGAACTGGAAATTATCACGCCTTAGCTACCGAGTGTTGGTGTCTGTGTCACTTATCTGTCTCACACGTCTCAAAAGAAGTGAAGATCACTCCACAGAAACATACTTCTCAAACTAATTTTAGGAAGCCTTGGTCCAGGTTGTAAGTGCTAGGATCTGGGCAAAGGTTAAGAGATATAATTACACACATCCATCACAACTACACTTCCTTTTACATAGATGCAAAGACTTTGCTTTGGAAAAAACTGCCTTAAAACAGTTGGTCCTTAAGCATGTAAACAATAAATTCATTGTTTTGACTGCTATGATGTTGTTTAAATATGCTGGGCCTGGCACATAAAAGCAGCCCCAGGTATTTGGGGGGCTGAGACAGGACTGTAAATTCAAAAGAACTTTATACAACTAACTTAGTGAGATTTTTGTCTCAAATTAAAAGTTAATGAAGCCTGGGATATACCATCATGGGACAGTCCTTGTTTGCTGTGTACCAGGCTGAGATTCAACTCTACAAAGCAAATAAAGAAATGAAGTCACATAGGCCAGGTATGTTGAGTCACACCTGCAATCCCAGCACTTGGCGGGCAAAGGCAGGAGGATGGGCTGCCCTTAGCCTGAGCTAAATGGCACAAAGCATTTTAAAAAGTCACCCAAAATTTGATCTGTCATTAATTAAAACAAAATTTATCTTTTGCACAAAGCCAAATAAATACAGGGGTAGATGTTACACTAATAACAAACATGAATAGAAACTGGAAACTAGCATTACTAATACTAACCAACATTCAAACAGGTAATTTAGGGAGGGCACACTCAATTAGAAGCACTTCGGGAAGTAACTCAATTTATACAACTATGCTATCAGGGAAAACTATTCTTACACCAGCCAGATAGTTTAGTAACTTGCCCAGGAGGACATAGATTCAGGAACTGCCATCTGGATCAAGTGACTCTGTCACATGAACCACAATTTCCAGAATCAACAATGCCCTGTGCCCTTATTGTATACCGGCTGCAGTATTGTAAACTGAGGCAGATCTTTCAGAAAGCAATGTGCCAATAGATCAGGGGCAAGAAGAGAGTCGAAAATCTGGGTTTCCATCATATACACTCAAACAAGACTCCTCACAACCTTGCTTGAAGAAAAAACACAAGGGTGGGGGGGAGGGGCAACATAAATGTCAAAGAGAGAAACGCTGCATGCTCATTCTGGAGACTCTGGTGACCGACAGTAACAGTTATGAGGGACAAGTGTAACAAGGGAAAGGTGACTCAAAAACAACAACAAAAAAAAAACCCCAGATATATGGGGGCTGCAGAACTGGCTCCGAGGTTAAGAGCATTGGCGGCTCTTCCAAAGGTCCTGAGTTCAATTCCCAGCAACCATATGGTGACTCACAACCATCTACAGTGAGATCTGGTGTCCTCTTCTGGCCTGCAGGCATACATGTATAAATAAATAAATCTTACAAAGCAAAAAAACAATATGTGGTGAAGGGTCTAGCTCTTGTAGACTTAGTGTGCACAAAGCCCTAGGTTTGCTCCCCAGCATTACAAAAATAAACATAAGATTAATTAAAAGGCTGGGGAGAAACTGCATGCTCTCGAGATCTACAGTTAGAAAAAAGGAAGACTAATGGCTGAAAAGTACTTCTGAAGGCTAAGCGCTGTCCCACTGCTGTACTAAAGTGTTTTTAAATTGAATATCTCTTTTATAAGAAAAACCATGAACATGTATATTTAAAGTGTCTCCTAAAACCAAACACCTACACTCAAATATTCAACTCATAGGTCCACTTCCGCCAATGGGATCATCAAAGTCAGGCGGACAGAAAACATAAAGACAGACTGCCTAAGTCGTACAAAACAGGCTTCATATCTGAACAATGATACACAGCCCCAGTAAGCAGGGCTCTCTTCTAATCCCTGAGCTAAAAAGCTGTAGAAAGGGCCTGTCTTTCACTGTGGTCTGGCTACTTCAATTTAGCTAAGTGCAGCAGCATAGCAGGTCTCCAGAAATGTTTAAACTTCAAGCTTCCCTTTCCTCATCACTAAAAGGGAGCAATCTAAATTATTAAGGAGAAATTGTCAAAGCAACACTACCTGCAGGAAGGTATTTCGACAAGCACTTTAAGTTTTGTTACTATATGAAAAAGACAAAAGCCATGCTAACAGCATCCTAAACTTCAAAGCCACACCGTGTAAATGGGCGGGAAGAGTCCTCCCTCCTTCCGTCTCTTCCCTATTAACCACGCCCCTGCACCTCATTTTAAAAAAAAATCATCTCAAGCAACGACACTTTGGCATCTCCCCACAACATATGGATCTTTCCACTCACATGAAAGTTATAAACACATTTACACTATTTACCTAATTTATATTTACATATTTAGCATGTTTGTACAACGTATTTTAATATTCTTATGTTCTATATACGTTTAGGATATAACGATCTTGATGAGCACCTTTTTCCCCCTAATTACTTTTTAGTTCCTTTCAAAGTCCAGCCCCTAATTCCTACCCAAATCATAGCAAAAGCT